CGAAAGATTATAGAATTGCTCATAACGATTTCAACCTGTAGCGAAGTTGAATTTTTAATGTGCTAAAAAAGTACCTTGAGGTACTTCTTTATAAAAATAAGTAATTAAAAAAACTCGTTCAACACCTATCACACTTAAAGATATTTATCATCACTCCCCTACAGGGATTGAATATTTAAGTTGATTATTTTTCTGTTCTAAAGGCATCTGATTTTGCTTAATCATTTTCTGTTGATAATCGCGCTCTGAAATTACCCCTCTATTGCGTGCCTTTTGCAATGATTTTAACTGCTGTTCATTTTCATGTGCATTCAAAGCATAAGTATCGTTATTTTTCAGAAGATATTGAGATCTTTCAAATGGACTCATATTAGAAGTATTTGCCCGACTTTCATACATTTTTGCGACATTTACCTCACGTTGAGCGATACGATCTTGCTCTTGTTGCTTTGACAACTCAAAAAAATCAACATGTTCACTATTGTTATTCCCATATTGAGGTTCTTCATTTTGTAAAAATACATAGGATTGAGGTTTTTTCGACCAATCTTCAGCACTATACACAGAACCGGCAATTACAGGACTGATCAGCAACATTAATATTTTTTTCATCAAGTATACTCAACTCAAAATAGTGAAAGTCATCGCTACGTATCATACCTTATTTGTAATGTGCGTGATTTTCAAATTGTACTTGTAGATGTCCATGATAGATATTTAGGCATGAAAAAGCGCTGAAATTGTTGATACAAAAAATTAAAGGATTCACTTATTAATCAATTTCCCATAACGATCAATCCATCCTGCTCAGATAAAAATTTTAATTCAACAAGCTTATCAATATCTCTATAAAATGTTCTTTCGGTTTTTCTATCATATAAAATCTGGATTTGTGGAATACGATAAAGTTCTGCTTTTGACAAAAATTTATTACTTTCACTCATCACTCGCATCACATTATGAATAAGATTGAATTGTCTATCTGAAATTTCCTTCCTAAATTTAGCGTTATTTAAAGCTGTTTGGTAAAGCAAATATCCGATTAATTTATTACTTTCATCATGAAGATATTCAATTGTTTCAAACATACCATTCAATATAAATTCAATAAATGGTTGATTAGGGTTATCTTCCTTTTTATCAGCTAGTTTTCTACACTGATTGAATAAAGCAAAATATTCATGGATATTCGTTTGATAATACTTCCAAATAGCAGATGAACTAAACCGATATCCTGACTGCTCAAGAATAAACATTTCAATCAGACGCCCAGTACGTCCATTACCATCCCAAAATGGGTGAATTAGCTCAAAATAATAATGTGCTAGCCCTGCTCTAATTATCGCTGGTTGATTAATTACGTTTGGACTATTTAACCATTCTATCCACGCCTGAATAAGATATTCAATATCCTCTATGCACTTGGGTGGTCGATAGGTTCCCCCATGAGAATCATTACCAACTATTGTTTTTTGAGTTGGCTGGTTATTTCGTAACTGCCCTGCTGGATTATGTTGCTCTTCTAAATTCTGAGATACTAGTGTATGTAATTGAAACATCGTAGAAAGTTCAAAAGGCTTACCTTCTACAGGCTTTAACTGTTTAGAACTGGATTTTTTTATCCATTCAATAGATTCTTTTAAATTTGTCAGTCTTCGCTCTTCTGACTTTTGAATAGTCTTAGGGTCCTGTTTTAATATGTTTGCAGTTTCTTGTTCTGTAAATTGCCCTCCCTCAATAGTATTGGTACTGTAAATACTGCTTGCTAATACCTTATCCTGCACTTGGTCAATAATTAAGGGTAAACTTGGGGTTTTGTTAAAGCGCTTTTGTGAATCATTGACACGATTGAGCATCGCTTGGACTTGAGTATGTTCAAAACCCAATTGAAAAGTAAAAAAGCCTGATTTATATGTCATGACTTTTAACGTCGTTTCATCTATCCATGTTTTACTTTGTTCAGGCATATTTTGTCAGAAAAAATGTCAAAGAAAATGTCAAATCATTATTATTGTATTTCAGTTATTTAGTCAATTTTTTAATAAAAAATATCAAAAAAATGTCAAAGAAAGTGTCAGAAAAAATGTCAAAAAGAAGCATTTTAACTAAAACATATAAATATCATAAACTTAGTCATATTGAGAAATTCTCTAAAATAGCAAGTATAGACAATCAGCTAAAGATGGTTTTACTAAATTTAACTCAAAATAAATTGTACTGGTAATACTTCCATTTTTTAATGTGTTGAAACTGGTCACGCAGTATTTATCTAACCTTCTTGCTAATTTATTGAATGTTATTTATGCGCACTCCACTTTTTTTGCTTTACAGGCTAAGTATTTAATGAAAAATACTTACCATACTGCTCAATACAGAAGTTCTTTGATTTAGTTTTAAAAGAATCATATTTTTCTATGGCATATTTAGCCATAACACTTTTTATTCAATTTTATTTACAGTTTTTAAATTAAACTTATATTTTTCAAAATATTAATTTTCCTCATACTCATTCTAACTACTGCTATAATGACCATTGCAAGTCAAATCGTTATTTTTAAATTTTAATGAAAATGGGATTTTTTAAAAAAATAAAAAGTTAACAACTCATCAAACACTTCAAATTTAATTTTAAAAAGCATCATTTATATTTTGGACAGACGTGTGCTATGCAAAAATTAAATTGATTTATGCTACGGAAAGCAAATTATGCAAGATGAAATTAGTGATTTAGATTTCTTTATAACCTTAGCCTCATCAAAATCAATGACGCGTGCTTCCATTGAAATGGATATTCCCCTGCCAACAGTAAGTAGAAAGTTAGCAAAACTTGAATATTTTTATGGTAAGAGACTTATTAACAGATCTGCTAGACAATTTGATTTAACCGAGGCTGGTAAACTATTATTAGATCGTAGTATTTACATATCATCTTTAATGAAGCAGGTTCATGAAGAGGTTTCTCAAAATGTGAATTCTTTTGCAGGTAAATTACGTATTGGTAGCTTAAATTATCTTGGTCGCAGTAAGTTAGGTGATTTAATAGCAAAATTCAGCGTACCGCATCCAAATCTAGAAATCGAACTCATTCTTTCTGACTCGAAAATGGATCTTGTGGAAAATGAACTCGATATCCTTTTTCAACTCGAACAACCCAATAATGTAATCTACAACTCAGAGGTTTTACTCGACACTAGACGTATATTCTGTGCTTCACCCAAATATTTTAATAAATTTGGCTATCCTACACATCCCTTAGACTTACTCAATCATCGCTGCATTTGTCTAATAAGAAATCGTCACATATATCAAGATTGGAAATACAGCATAAATGACGAAATATTTGAAGTTCATGTACACCCTTATTTAAAGAGTAATAATGCTGAAGTTACACACCAATGGATGATTCAAGGATTTGGTATTGGATATCGTTTATATCACGAGGTCAAACAAGAGTTAGAAGATGGTATATTAATTGAGTGTTTTAAAGACAATCATTCATCTGAATTATCACTTTACATGGTGTATTCAAAATTAAAAAAGAGAGAGGTTGTCAAAGATTTTATTAACTTTACCAAAGACAATATTAATTACTGAATTTTCTTGGAATGTTATAAGCTAAACCACCGATAACATTCCATTTATTTTATGCTTTAAAATTTCCACGTGTAATCAACATTGACCCTCGTCTCATTGGCGGGTCTGAATACGATTCTCTCATTAGGTAAATCATTACGATAACGCGTATAGCGAGCACGGATACCAACACCCTTGAGGATTCCACGAGGTATGCGATAATTTAGATCAAAATCGTAAGAGTCTTCTTCAAATAACTCCCCCTTTAACCGAGGAATTTCAATATCAGTTCCATGACTATATCTCGCCATAAATTTTAAGCCACTTAAAGCAGTATCTTTAAAATCATAATCATATCGAACACTGATAACTTTTTCATTTTGATTGGTGAAATCAGCACTTATACTATCCATAAATACTGCGGGTTCAGCATGACCTAATGTTGGCATTGCGGTATCGCCTAAAGAGTGCATATATCCTAAACTCAAGGTATGAGTATGAATATTTAAACCTACAATCCCACTTAAATGTTGATTGTCAATTTTCCCTGCTAATTCTTTTCCAGCATCTTCACTGAGAAACGCTCTAAAATCTCCAAGAACATGACCGATTCCGACATCATGTTTAATTTTGACACCAATAAAATTTTGAGAATATACATCATGCAAATTTGCGTGATATAGATCTGCTTTAAAGCCTTCACTAAATTGATATTCAGCACCAAGCATATATAAGCCTGAAGACTCAGCAGCTGTTTTAAATCGCCCATTGATATTTCCTATACGAATTTTTTCATAGTTCGTTGAGTCCCTATGATTGACTCGATCGACATATAATCCATGAAGCTTAAGATCTTTTACTTCATTAAACTGCACGTGTGCACCGCGGTAATTCTGTTGGAATAACCGCGCGGGACTTGAAAAAATTACTGGGAACATCGGCGAAAGTGTCCCAATATGAACTGTCGAATCACTTACCTTGGTTTTCAGGGTCCAACGCAACTCTCCTGTATGATCAGGACGCTCATTGTTTCTATCTACAGGCAATAAACCTGAAGCAGCATAATCTTTATTATTTCCCATAAGATTAAAACCTGCTAAAGCAAGAACATCCAAACCAAATCCTACATTTCCACTGGTATATCCAGATTTAGCATTTAGGATAAAACCTTGAGCCCAATCTCTTGCTGCAGGATATGGAACATTATTTATGTAATCTCTATCAAAGTAATAATTTTTTGTCGTTAACGATATTTTACGATCTTTGATAAATTCAGCATTTGTAATTGTGGGCAGCGTAGTCGTGAGGCCGACTAATCCAAGAAAAAATATATTCTTCATGATATGTACCTATTTTTACTTAAATCTTTAAGGTGTAAAAATCCTGACTACCTAAAAATAATTGAGGTAGTCGTTATTGTTTTTTATTTAAACTTTTGAGGTTTGAGGAATTGTCACTTTAGAAGTTGAATAACGCCCTTTTAAATAAAGCGCTAGCGCCGAAATTAAAATAGGCAATGCAAGTACGAAGAAAATACCACTCATACCGAGATTAAATGTGAAAATATAAGCGCCGAAAAATGCCCCGAAAATAGCACCAAAACGGCCTAATCCGTGCATCCATGAAACACCAACTCCACGGCATTCTGCAGGATAAAATATCGCGGCTAAAGATGGCAAAGAGGATTGTGCGCCAACCAAACCTGCGCCAGCTAAGAAAATAAACAATGCGAGTAAATAAATATTTTGTGTCAGGAATCCTGTTATGACGAATAATACGGCTGATATAAAATATGCAAAAGTGATGGTTTTATTCACGTCATATTTACTCATAAACCAACCAATGAGGATTGTTCCTGCAACGCCACCAAATGGGAAAACTGCTGTGACTAAACTAAACTGTTCCGGTGTAAATCCTGATTCCTTAAGAAGCGTGGGCATCCAGCTTGTAAGCACATAAAATACCAATAAACTCATAAAGCAGCAGAGCCACATCATTGCAGAGGGTACAATAAACTTGCCGACGACAAGACCAACGGGATTGGTATTTTTTTCAGTTAAATCAGCATCTAGGCTTTTAACAGGAACTAATTTTGCATCGATAAATTTACCCTGTATATTTTTTACAATTTCTAATGCTTCGACTTGTCCTTGTTTTTTAATCAAAAAATGTAGCGATTCTTTTAAAAGAAAAACTGATACAACGGCAACCACTACAGGAATAGCTCCGCCTATATAGAGAACCATTTTCCAACCATGATTTGATAAAAGTCCTGCTGATAAAACACCGCCAATCGTAATACCAAGCGGTAGTGCACAAAATAATAAATTCACCATCCATGCACGGCGATGCGCTGGCATATATTCAGATACGAGTGTTGCAGCATTTGGCATTGCAGCACCAAGCCCTAATCCCGTTAGGAATCGATATATCACCATTTCAGTCGTATTATTTGAAGTACCTGTCAGGATTGTTAAAACACCAAAAATAAATGCAGAACCGATAATGACCCATTTTCGTCCAATCTTATCTGCTAATATTCCTGCAAATATTGCTCCAATCGCCATTCCTATTAAGGCAACACTCATCACTGGGCGTAGATCATTTTTAGTGATCCCCCAATCATCTAACAATGCAGGAGCGATAAACCCGACTACCCCTGTATCAATCCCATCTGCTAAAATCACCAAAAAACAAAGTATAAATATTATCCACTGTTGCAGAGATAATTTTCTAGTATCAACGGCTTGCTGTATATCTAGTATTATTTTCATCATAAAATCCTTTTACTGCATTAAAAATGCCAATAACAATCATTGTTATTGGCTTGAGCTACTTTAAATGCTTAACTTGAATAATTTGTGTGCATTATGACGGCCTATTTTTTCTCGATCATTCTCACCAATTTCGGCATGATCAAACCAATGTGTCGCTTCTTCCATGTCTTCAAATGGATAATCACTTGAGAATAAAACACGATCAGATCCAATTTCATCAATTGCATTTTTCATGGCAATAGTTCGGAAGTTACCGCTTGTTGTTAAATAAAAATTCTTACGGAAATAATCAATAAATGGCTTTTCTGCTTTTACACCGAGTGGATTACGACCATTTGCTGAAGCCCAATGCGATGTACGCCAAATATTATTTTGAATTAACTCGCCTAGGTGTCCTAAAATAATATTAATATTTGGATACTTATCAAATAAACCTGAACCGATTAAACGTAGTGCATGTACACCTGTTTCAACTGAGAATGACCATGCAGGCCCCATTAACCAAGGATGATCTTTGATACCCAATTGCTGACTTAAAAGTGGATTACGTGGGTGTAAATAAAATGGTACATCGAGTTTAGCAACCTCAGCCCAAAAATCTAAATATTCCTCAGCATCATAATATTTTGCTGTTTCATCGTTATTTAAATTTGAGAAACCATTTACTAAAGCACCAGCAAAACCAAGTTCTGTTACACATCGATTGAGTTCTTTTGTCGCTGCTTCTGGGTCTTGTAATGGTAATGCAGCAAAAGCCCCAAAACGATCAGGATGTTTAGCGATTAATTCAGCTAAGGTATCGTTTGCAATTTTTGCAACTTCAACAGCTTTTTTTGGATCTGCAATTGCTTGAATCGCTGGTGCATTTAAAGAAATAATTGAGTATTCAATACCCGTTTCATCCATGCGGCGTAAACGTTCTCCGGTTATATCTAGTAATTGACTCCGCTTAGTTCTCCAAACATCTGGTACAAAGAATCGTTCTGAATCACCAAGTGTCTCTTGAATTGCAAAATGTTCTTCTAAAGCAATCTTCCCTTTCATTTACGACTCCATAACTTATAAAGGTATAGACGTAGCTTAGGTGGATCAAAAGAATACGAGAACATTAATTATGGAAACTTAACTTTCATTTTATGAAAGCTAAATTATTTTTGATCGAGTTGGTCATCGCTTGCAAATATTAATTAAACGATATGTAAAATGGATTCATGGTGATAAAAACAGGATAGAGATGGCAAAACTAAATAAAGGCACTTAATAAGTGCTTTTTTATTATAAAAAATATGCTGTGAAAAGTTGCGTGTGTGGCAATAAAAAGTCACTTAAGATAAGCGGATTTTTTTAAGAATTTGGTGGAGATGGTGTCAATTGAACTCAGAGCCTAAACTAATAATTTTAAATATCAATTTAGATAATGGAAAAATTTTGTACCCAATTTTTACCCAAGTCAGATTTAGTGCCTTAAATCCTAAAACCAATTTGTTCAAATCCAATCAAAGGATTTGAACTTAGGTACTGAATTTAACACAAGTAAATTTGATTAAAAATAAAATGTTATATCATTACTTTCTTATATTTCTGATCCTAGACAAAATAATGGACACACAGTCCCCTGAAAAAGCTGAGCAAAATTACGAATATCTTTTGTACTAATTTTTCCTAAATAGGTAGCTTCCAAATAATATTTTTTATTTGCTTCATCTTGTAATAATGGTAAATACGCATTTAGGCGATCAAAGTCTCGCGAAATAGTACGTGTACTTACTCCAAATTCGGATGCTAATTCTTTTATACTCAGTTGATACCCCATATTTAATTTTGTTAAAATATTGGCTAACCGATCGGCTAAACGCTCATGAATAGAATCATCACGTTGCATAAAATTTTCTCAGAAGATTTAAACAATGTTATAAAGTTTGGTTTATTTATACGATTGAAATATAACACATTAAAACACAAAAAATTACACCAAATCACATAAAATTATTATTCAAATTTAATTGAGACATGGTTTAATCTTTCTAAATAACGCTCTAAATGCAACATCGCCAAGTAAAACACCATTAACTTAGATGGCTTTATCTTTCCAAGTATGAACTCTTTGAAGATACGTCTTAACGCATTAACGCTATGTTTACATGTAAATGGGGTAAGACATATCTTCATCATCAGTTCCTTTCAATATCTAGCTTTTACATTTAAGCGATTGCACAAAACAATCAAGTAAAAGTGAATAAGCTAAAGATAGGAAAATCAAATGACAGGTTATGTCATAGTGCTTTAAAATTTATTTATTTTTAGATGCCCTAACAAACTAAAGCAAAAAATTAAGTCTACGAGAAACTAAAATGAAATCGCATAGTAATTAGTTCTGTTGAACACTCGTACTATTTGATACCCAATCTATAAATCTCTCCCCCTTTTCACATCCCATTTCAATATCTAAGTCAAAGGGTAAAATCCGTAAAATTGACTCACCAAATTTAAACTTAAAATCCTGTAAAGGTTGATGAAAAATATCTCCCCGAGCAGGATAAACCATCAACACTTCATGGGTATGATTCAAATAAAAAGCACTATAAGCAAACATTTGCTGAATATCACTGTCCTTAAGCCCATAGCGACCACCTTGATCCATTGGGTTGAGTAATTTCCATTTAGTATCAACAACTTTAATTGCATTAGTTTCAGTATTTAACTGCTTCATAAATATATCTGGTCTTAGTCTAAATATTGATTTATTTTTTTGTAGACACATATGTGCGGTACTATGCTGAGTATGAATCTCCCACTCTTTTTGCGACTTTCTTAAAAAATATGCAACATAATATTCAAATAGTTTTTCCATAGGGAACAATAAGCTCATACCTCGCCAATCTCCTTGGGTGGAAACTGGCATGTATTCGCCTAATATCAACTCCGTCCATGGCTTTATCTCTGCATAAAGTGCCAATAGCCGCCCAGATTGCCACTGTTTAAAATCTTGTTTGATATTAACACTTTTTGGAATCTCACCAGTCATTAAACGTAATTCTTGTGCAAGCTTCCAATTTCCAGCATCTTTAGTCTTTTTACAAACAACTTCTAATGCTGTTTTAATTAACCGATTTTCTGGCCGATTAACTTCATATACATCGTGTTCAATTGGAAATACATGCTTTTGGGATGGGGGCTGGCGCATATATTTGACATGCTGTAACTGCCCTCTTAGATACTTCTGTTGTTCTTGAACACGGTTATAGTCAAAACGTAAACCCCGCTGAATCAATTGCTCAAAGCATCTTAAAAACTGACTAATAATCCACTCATGTAATGGCTGTCTGAACTTTTTTAAATCTGCTGCTCCAGCCTTTCGATAGGGTAAATGCAATGAAACGCTGAGCATTTTTTGCAATAGTCTACGCTCTTGCTGGATCACACTTTGCTCATCGCCTATACCAAATTCCACATGCTTAGGTAAAATTTCAATGCGTGTACCACACGGCGTTTCAATTATACCCACATGTTGATCAAGCTTCAGTTTCCTACGGCCAGCTAGCTCAAAAACTTTCGCGCCATGTTTTGAAAATGATGCGGACAAATCACATAAATGCTCAAAGGCGCTTTCCGGAATATAAGCATGATCAATGCTAGATTGTGGACACCCCTTATATTGAACACTGATAAATGCATATTCTCGTACTGTAAAGTCAGACATATTTTTATTCTTATTAACCTAATATCTTTTTAAATGCGTCAATCGTTTTAAATGCGTCATCGTTTATTCTCCAAACTTTCTTTCGCTCGGAATAGTCGGTATCTAATTGAGCATCTGCTGGGAATAAACTTGATATATTGATCTCTTTATCTTCAGTGATCATATCATTTTGAAATAATACTAAATTGATTTTCCCCCAATCATCAAAGAAGTATTCTTGAAGTTGAGGGATAATTTTGTGTTTAAAAATATGCGCTAAATTGTCTCGTGTTGCCTGTTCTTTTAAAGACATAAAATTAGCATGACCGATACAATGATCACGATCTAGTAAAACTTCGATCCGTTGATTGATTACTTTCAACAGCTCTTCAATGTCTAGCCCCTCCACAATCACACCGTTTAATAGTTCAGGCTTTGGCGGCATTTCAATAAAGGTAAAACGACGGCGTAAAGCAATATCCAAACCTGTTAAAGAGCGATCTGAGGAGTTCATGGTACCAATAATGTAGACGTTTTCAGGTACAGAAAATTCTTCTTTTGAATATGGCAAAGTCACAGATAAAGCTTCTTCAGCACCTTCACGCTTTGAATCCTCTATCAACGTAATAAGTTCACCAAAAATCCGGGAAATATTACCGCGGTTGATTTCATCGATGATAATCACATAACTTAATGAGTTACTTTTACTTACTGGAGTCACTTCATCTAATTTTAATTGAAGATAACGAGCAACAGCCCAAGCATATGCTTGATTTCTTCTGATATTTTCACTTGGCTCTAAAAGATAGGCTTTAATTGCTTTTTTTGAAATCACAATTTCATTTTGTGTTGTTGTTCTTACTGATATACCACCTTTGCCAGAGCTATTGAATACGGTAAACTCAACGCCTGTCTTTGTTTCCAAGATTTTTTCATTTTTTGAAATTTCCTCTACAAAATCATCTACGATTTTATCAATATCAATTTCTGCAAATTTCTGAAATTTAGCTCTCTCACAAATCTCTTTAAAAACACCAGATTTTACATCGTAAGTCAGTATTCCCTCATCAGACTCAACTAAATTATTCATGATTATATGCAACTATCTGTATTTTATTGTGCTTTTAAAGCGCCCCTATATTTATTCTATAGCATATCATTTACCATCTAATAAATTAAGAAAAATATTTTTCACATAAATTAGATCCCGAACATTATTGCAGGTAACTGCTAACTTTTATTAAATTTAACATACTTGCAAATTCTACTAATTATCAGCAATAGACCTCCCACAGCCATTACAGCTGTAAAATGAGTACCCTACTAGATTCACAATCTCAACACTCTTTTATAATGATGTTTACTCTACTTTAAGCAATCATGATAGAAATTCAGGCATTAAAAAAGCCCTGAAACCATTAAATTTCAAGGCTTTATTAAGTTTCATGATACATCGTATAACTAAGTGACAGATCATGATTTACAAATTTGGTGGAGATGGCGGGAGTTTAATTAAAGCCTTAACTCATTATATATATTAAATATTTATTGTCTAGGATATGTATTGTGTAACTTATGTGTAACACACTACTTTGATAGATCATGATTTTTTATGATCGTTTTTGATTTGTCTAAATTCGCTTTTTCTTTTAGAAATTGAACTCAGTATCACTAATCTGATTTTATCATTATTTTTAAATTATCAAAGTAAAAGATTAAAAAACAAACTTATTCTTCTGACACAGAATTGTTCTAGTTGGGATTGGCTTTTGACTATTAATAATTAAGCGATATAATCGAACAAATAATATACTTATTCATTACTAATTAACTCCTCAATCTGCTTTGTGCATATAACATTCATTATTTCGGGATTCTTTTCTATGCCTTTATTCAAATATAGTTGTGTAACCCTCATGGTGTTTACCATCAGCGCTTGTGCTACCTTGGCCACCAAACCCAATGAAGTCGAAGTGGCTGCACAAAAACTAGTAGGACAACCAGCCAGTAATGCATTTAAAATATTTGGCAAACCTGATCATGGTCTAGGTCCATCGTCGTATGGTAGTGGTGGCTTCTATGGGTGGAATCGAGTGCAGACTCATGTAACACCAGAAAAAGTTTTCGTGCAGACAGGTGTTGAGTATATTGGCCAAAAGACGACCATGGTTGGAATCGGTGGTGGTGGCGTGGTTGGCCAAATGCCAGTTGGTAGCGAACCTGTATATCGGAAGACTGGATATACAGAAAATCGGACTGTTATCGATTACTTTTGCAATATCACCCTGTACACCGATAAAAAGAACATCATTACCGATGCCATAGTGATCGGTTGTGATAAAAAGAAGTGATAACGTAGCTTAAAGCCCATAATTTCAAATGAGCTTTAAGCTTGTTTAGTCTAACTTTAACACTTTGTTCTTCACATCATTCAAAGTACTACACTCATTGTATTTAGCAACTGTATAAATGATCCAAAGTGTGATTTCTTTCCCCTGCCCTGACTCAAGTTTTAAGCGTTTAGAGCAAGGTAACATTCAGTTATTGATATGAACTTAATTTTAGGTGAACATAAGTTAAATTTAGAAGGAGTTAAAAATAATAATGTTTATAGAATCTTTAACTAGTTTTATTAAAAAAATAAGCTCTGGTTGCGAACTTGATGAATGGTATTTATCTAATTTCATTAATGAATCTGTTTATAGACTATCTCAATCCGATGCATTTGAAATGTCTTCATATCTCGTAGAGATCATTAAAAAAGATTTAGAATCTAGCTACATGTATGAATTACTCTCAATTTTATTAGCACTTCAATCCCAATCTGATACAACACAATCACCAATAAATCTAAGCAATGATCCAAGTTTTTTTGATGAAATTATTAAGAAAAATTCTGAAGAATATATTCATCATTTAGTTAATAAATTAATTCAAAATTATAGAATAAAAATATAAAACTTCCTTCTATTTAACATAATGGCCGTTATGCGAATTAGCCCTCACTCAGAGGGCCATGCCTCCCTCAATCTTTCTGCATCAGCTGCGTGTCAATCAGCTGCTTTTGCCACTGTTCGATAATTAGCGATGCAAGTTTCGAGTATGTCACTGTTGGCAGTGGTGTACTCAATGATGGTTTCTTTACCCTTGCCCTTACTCAAGCTTTAGTAGTTTAGGACACGGTAGCATTTTACATGAGAACTTATCAAAGTTTTTACATAAGCTCTATTATGTTATTTTTAGTGAATCTAAAAGGTGGTGGATATATTAAATAGCGGTTTGACGGTGGTTAAAAGACACCAGTAGGTGGTTGGAGTGAAAATGATATTCATCATATTAAGCCTCTAATATTTGGAGGTACTAATAATTTTAATAATTTAGTGCCTTTACAAAGAAAATGCATTAAAGGGAATATTCTCAGTTTTGGAATAGGTACAAGTATGAATTATAGTTTTGAAGTCAATGTAGGTTTATTAAAAAATAGTTGGACGAAACCTAAAGCAATAAATAATATTTCCATAGATATGTTATTTAGATGTAGGTTCTTACATGGAATAAATGAATTTAATGATATACCCTTTTCTGAAGATTTTATAGAATTCTATAGAATTTCTAATGGTGCATATTTGTTTGAAGATGTTATATATGGACAGTGGGGGTTAATATTATTAGATTTATATTTCATAGAAGTAAAAACACAAGAATTTATGCATGATTATAGAGATGATTTCATCTTTGGGGATTATATTATTGGTGAGTTTTTGGGAGATAATGATTTATTGCTATTAAGGTTAGATGAAACTAAAGAGGATTATGGCTCTATAATAGTAGCAAACCGAATGGATAGCAGAGAAGAGTGGAAAAAAGTAGAAAGAAATTTTCGTAATTTTATAGTGAATTTTGCAATTAATGAGGGACAGAAATATTGGGAATGAATATTTTGAGTTTGATGAGTGCTGATGAAAACACAGCAGAATTTAAAGCTTAAAAGATAAAAGTCATTGAAGAAAACAAAGGAAATGTCTCAAAAACAGCAAGACAGCTCTGGCTTTCGCATTCTCAGTTTGAATAATAATTTCAGTCTGTTTGTATTTCTGGATCTGCCCTACTTTGTGGTTCAGTAAGGCAAGACAAACAATCTACAAAAAAGCGAGAAGTCCGATTAAGATTTCTCGCCATTTTGAGATGATTTGGAATAGTGTCATTTTAAAAATAACTCCATTTCAATTTTTCTGCGCTTTATAAGTCCATTCAGAACTCGACCACCTCCACGGTTCCAGCGTAGGAATTGCTCTGCCGCGCCTTTATAATCTTTTGCATTTAACTTTTTAAGTAGTGTTGAGCTTTTAAATGCACCAATGCCGATGTTGTATGTCAAAGATACCATCGCATCAAACTGGTTTTGATTTAATGGGATCTTTACAGCCGTATTAACCGCAGATTCAAATTTCTTTAAATCTTGAGCCATATAACTTTTAGCTTGTTCGACCGTACAAATATCGCCTTTCTTAACCTTAATACCATTTACGATAGTAGTACCATAACCGATGGTCCATACCCCCACACCATCATCGTATGCTTTGAGCTCTAGCCCCTCAAAACCACAAATCAGATTAATTCCATTAGCACTTGTTTTCATTAAGCACCCCACTTCTTAGCATTCTTCTTTAAGTATTCTTCGATAAAAGTAGAACCTAAAATACCCAAAGCGCTACCAATTCCAAGTAATGCCAATGGTGAAATACTAGGTATCTGAAGCAAAACTAATCCCGCGACTAATGATGATGCAGAACCAAGTATTGTTCTTCCGATAATAACGCGGAACGTGAGTTTTTCTGTTGAAACTAGAAGCTTACTCATACCGATCAGCCCTCCAATTGCAATTAAAGTCAGTAATGTTTTTTCATGCTCTTGCATGTAACCTCCTATTTTTGGCAATAAAAAAGCACCTTTCGGTGCTAATGGAAATCTTGTTTATAAAGTTATTTCATCTAATGCAAATCTTTTTAATCAAATGACAAGCGTACCAATACATTGTGGCTTAATCATAAACCAATCATTTGTTGGCGAAATATTTTCAAAGATAACAATTGACTGAATTGCTCCATTTGTTGAGTATTCATCATAAGTGGACTGGTTCGAGCCTAAGCGCCATTTGTAATAGTTTGCACCATTTGTAATATCAATCGCACCGAAATATGGATAATTTGATCCACCCGCATAACAAATATATTTCTTATCTTTAATTTCAAAAAACTTTAAATTGTTTAAGTATCCTGAGACCTTTAATTTAAAAATACCTCGAATCCATAAATTACCATCAATACGAGCAAATTCAATTTTTGACCTTTTGCCATAATTATCAAATAGTGCATATTCAAATGCTTGTATATTTAAAGTTCCAATTTCTTCAATTGAAACCCATTCAACTTTTGAGCTCCCACCACCAGCCTTAATTTGAGACTGTAATTTACTCAGCATCGTTCCTAATGAATCACTAGCCGTAATTACAGAACTTACACCCTCTGTATAGGCTGAATATACAACATCAAATATTTTATTCTGACCATTTAAACTACTAAATTGTCCAGACAAAGCCACGGGGGCTACATCTGCACTTTGTAGCGCAGTATCGGCTTTAACGCCTTGCGCTGTTGTTGCTGCACCCAAAGATTGTGCGGTAATTTGACTGAGCAACTGTTGAGCTGTACCAAGCTTTTCAGCACCAATATTTGTACATGCATTTTGCTTCTGAATTTCAGTTAAAACTTGAGTCGCAACATCAAAGCGAACACGATTAGCGACAGATTGATTTAAACCATCAATCAAACTTTGATTGTTCTGTAAAGCTGTTGCCAGCTCATAGATTGTGTCTAATGCTTCTGGTGCAGAACCTACCAATTTTGCTATTTGCTGCTGAACATAAGCTTGATCTGCTTTTGTTTCTACAAGTAATGCAAGTTGAGCTAGTGCTTGGATATCTGCTTTGCTAAGTATTGCTAAGCGATTTAACTCAACTTGTTCTTGAGCAAGTTCAAAGTCTTGTATATCAACTTTTTGCGATAATTTAAGCTGATTGGTTTCTGCCAGTGATTTCACTTGATTTATATCTAATGAAAGTAATTCTTTGACAGTATTCGCTGAACCTTTCTGATCCGCTCCAACATCTTCAGCTTTTAAAACGATATGACCTGTTTTAGCGTTGACGGATTGAACGGCACTAACTGCTCCATCACCAGCAATAACAATAGTATTGGTGAACAGTTTTAATGTATCACCCTCATTAAGTTTAATTGTTAAAGAGTCACCATTTTTAATTTGTAGTACATCCATTCTAGCCTCGTATAACTATGACAGGTATCAATACAGTTGAACGAATACCGCTTACGACTCTCACAAGGCGAATCTGCAATTCACCGACTGGCCAATCATTGGTACTCGTTGCAGTAATTAAAAAGTCACCCTTATTGGTGACTTGATCAAGTTTTAAAACTGTTAATGGACCTGTCCACGACTGACTTAAGGTTTCAATTAAGGCCTCAAATTCTGTAATTGATAAATCAATAGGTTTATCTTGAGGATCATCATAATGACACGCATAACTAAACGTATCACCCCGAATGATATTTAGAGATTGCTCACAACTCATTTTATAACCTTCACTTTTATAAGATTTAAAGCTTCATTGCTTTTTCCCACAAGGTATTTATCTGTTCTTCATCCAAATTAATTAATTGCAATAATTGTGCAACCGCATCACTTGTACGCTCGAACTGTGTGCTTTCGTTAAATTCAATGCTCATTAACTTTTTCTTTTTTAAATTTTTAATTTCAGCAATTGCAGTTTCGATTTGATCATCAAGATCATTTGTTGCAAGTGCTAATAAAAACTGTCGACGAGTCAAAGGTTTTAATGATGCTAAATAATTTTGGTGCTTTTGTTCATCAGATAAAAATTTATCTGGATTTAAATGTCGATCAATTTCATCTTTAGTCATCTGGATAAAGCCTTCAGTGACTAAATCTAGTTGCCCATCTTCAAATGCATAAACATCATTATTTTTTTTAAAATATTTCATTAACGCAACTCCGTCCAAGCCCAAATTCCACTGCCAGTTGTCAATTTATACATACCATTATTAGGTACAATTGCAGAGATTGTTACCGTGCCTCGTGTACCATATCCACAGTGAAAAACACCAACTTTAATACCATTAATAAATAGCTCAGCATCGGAATCACCATCATTTCCAGAAACAAGGATATTGATAAAAATTGGAAAACCTGTGCTGTTTGTATAAGTTGTATCTTTGACTCTAATGCTTGAAACATCTTGCCATTTTTGATTAGTGTTACTGGTTTCAATGAAATTATCGAGAGCCTTAGCTTGATTATCTAAACCATCAATTAATTCATTTACTTTTACTGTCAATGAGTTAAATAACCAGTTAAACCATTGTCGAGCTGGTTTAAGTGCAGCTGGGAAACCATTGGTTTGGTTTAACTCGTTTGTATTCTTTTCACCGTTTACAGCAAATTCAATTAATTTTTCAATATTAGCCATTTAATATGACTCCTCTATCCAATAACCACCCTTATTGGTGTCACCTGTTTCACCAAAACCTAAACTATCCGGCTGATCTACCCAGCCGAAACTCTCAAACCAGTTTGTAAAGAATTTAATCCCTACACCTGCTGGCTTGGGAATCATCACGCGTACTAATTGCCTTGTTGTGACTGCCATTGATGACTGAACACCAATTCCAATCCACATCAAACCACTATCAAAAACCGTGTATCGCTCATTAAGAATAAAATCCAAAACTTTATAAGCATCAAACAAGGAACATCCGCAGCTATTTCTATAAATTTGTGCCTTGATCACTTTTTTAAGTAGCTCTGTTTCAATGGTCCCTGTTGTATTTCCTGTTTGACCAGATTCACGCCAAAAACCACCAGCACTAGGATTATTGGTTTCACCAAATGGCAGTGCTGCTGGTTGACCATCAAAACCAAAGAGAGGCAATGCTACGGCGTTCGGTGTCGTTGTTGGCGCACCGACCCATTTTGCTAACGTTACTAATTGATCACCTGTAGCTGTTTCGATATCGAAATGACTCGGTAAAGTTTGTATAGTGTTACGAACATCAATAATTGGCTGTAATGTGGTTCGTATCATCGCTTCAAATTTTGGTTTACCCCGATGTTGACTGGTAATCAACTTTAGATAGTCATCAATTTTCATCATGAGACCCCAATAGTTACATCACTAACCGTACAAACTGCTAATTCAGTAAAATGCAAATCTAAGCTGCTTTGCCCATTAATTCTTATTTCGATGATCTCGAAACTATGTGACTCTACACTGCCACTTAACGCTGCCGAAATATCAAGCCGTTTAGAAGTAATCTGTCCACCAATCATCACGTTATTAATGTAGTCAGCCACAGCCTGTTTGATCTTTTCACCTGTTACGTCGTTGTAATTGCTATGTGCCTTAATCGCGACATTTACTAGGGTAGGAACAATTGTCGGTCTGTAAAAACGAATGGTTGAAGGATTATTTTTTTGATCAAATACAGTTCTGGTGATATTTCCAACTGTGCTACAACCCATCGTTTTTTTAAGTTTGATTACCTCAGCAATAGTTTGCTCATCTCCACCTGCTACAACAAAGGCCATGCTGTGTGGAGGCATTCCATATGCATTGACAACATCGGTTTCATTTTCATAATTTTGATAATGTGTTACACCCGATATATCTGCGATTGCACCCATAGTGCCATCCAATAACCCGATCGATGGAATAGCCACAGATATCACTTGTCGACGACGCAATGTTGCATCATTTTCAACAGGATTACCCAGTACCGCGGCATTGGGATTATTTACAGAAACCCATCCACGAGTTGGAGTGATGATCTTATTAATACTATGTGGTGTGGCGGCTATACTGCCAATATCTTCACATGTCGCATTGACTGTAATAGTTCCTGAATTATCAATGACGGCCACAGGAGGTAAAAACCATCGGTGTGTACCATCACTTACAATGCCGTTGTTGATTGTCGTACCAATCGCACCAGTCAGTATCACTGGTGTTGTTGAGTTGGTCGCAACCGCTCGAGCAATACCATTAATGGCCACATTTCGAGAAAGTGCATCACTTAAAGCATCAACCGGACTAAAGGAGTTATAAACTCCGACTGTGATAGCTGCTGTATCACTAATTGCTCGTGCAATGAATGCTAAAAACTGCCCATCTTGACTATCATTTTCCAAATAAACATCATTGCCATAAATCGTTTTATATTGTCTTTTTATGTCTTCAAGAATTTCATCAAATGTACTCGCTGATACACCATTTTCATTGATCGTTACATAGCTCATAAAGACTCCTGTAGCGTTGTTTCGCCATAAACCGTATTGATTGTGGTTTGAATATTTAGCTTTCGAGTGTTTGGATCAAATTGCGTGTAAAAGTCAGTTATTTCGGTTACGCCAAACGTACCTAAAATTCGCTGTTTAATGACCTGTTCATACAATAGGCTTGTGCCGCGACCAAGTACTTGATCTAGCCAATCCGTACCATCTTCAATATTCAAAAACCATTCATTCACCCAAAGCTTTAAGCGTGTT